ACACACACACACACACACACACACACACACACACACACACACACATTCTGTGGCAATGCCACACCACACACAAGCTAAGGCTCTACAGCTACACCCTCATCCTCACACCTCCTAGTCTTTTACATCTGTCACATTTCTTGCTCAAGGCCCTTGTGTAACTCTCTGGCACAAGCAACTGCCCCCATCTTTAGCTACGGCACTTCAGCTACTCTCCAGATGCCAGGTGCTCATTCAAGCACACAGCTAGGACGCTGCTCGTGTTCTGTCTTTAGGTCTAACACATTTGGTGAGAGCAGCACTTGACTCCTGGCTTGAAACGCAGTTGTTCAAGCCCCTGCTCCTCTAGCTTCTTGTGAATAGAGGCAGCCACTGCCCACTGAGCACCACACAGGCAGGAGGGGGCCTCAAGGTTTGAACGCCTAGGAACTGGGCATCTGCAATCACATCACGATAGACATGGTGCTCCTGCTCAGTGGCCTTCTCTGCCAAGATGTGACCCTAGGCCCCCAAGGCATCTGTGTAGTGCGAGATTCACCAGACTGATGACCTATGTTCTGAAAGACTTGGGGGTCTTTCTGTTCTGTTCTTTCTCATCAGCCCGAACTTCCTTTGCCCTGAATCCAGTTCTTTAACAACAGCTATGGCTTAGCAGCAGCCCAGTGTTGCTGAATTCTCTACTTTCTGTTCCAGTTCTAGCTCGTGCCAAGAGAAAGGGAACAGGTGGGAGGCTCCACCTCCTTGTCCTGAGCACTCGGCCACTCTCCCGCCCCTCTACCTGACCTCTCCTCTCCTTCCACAGTGGAGAGTATTTGATGTGTGCATAGGGTCAGTAAGTGGAGATAGGCATACAGAACCTCTGGCCTGGTGGGCTAAACCACACTTTTCTGTGGCATGGCCAGATGCTCCATTCCTGTGACGTTTGGTGACTGGGAAGCACCTCTGGTGGCTCATTTTTCCATATGAGGTTTCTGTGTCTCTCAGGCCACTGGTGGTATGTCTCATCAAATCCCCTGGTAGCAAAGAGATCTTTCCTTTGGCTGCTTACTTTATTTTAAATTTTGTTTTGAAACAGGATTTCAGTTGGCCCAGGCTGGGACTGGACTTGGTATGTAGTTGAGGCTGGCCTTGAACTCCAGACCCCTTTGCCTAACCTCCGTTGTTCTGTGGTTCAGGACAGTCTTAGACTGGTGCTCCCACTTCAGTTTGCCAACAGCTGCTGGACTATCAGCATATGCCACCTTACTCAGTTTGTTTTATTAGAGTTTTTTAAAAACACGATTATTTTGCATTCTTTTGTTGTTGTTTTTCCAGACAAACTCCACTATGTTCCTTGGAAGACTAGGATTCACTCTGTAGACCAGGCTGTCCTTCAACTCAGAGATCCCCCTGCCTCTGCCTCCAAATGCTGGGATCAAAGCTGTGCCACCATTCCAGCTTTTTTCTTTTTTTTCTTTTCTTTTTTCTTTTTTTTTTTTTTAAGATTTTTGTTGGGCAGTGGTGGTACAGGCGTTCAATGGCAGCATTCTGGGAGGCAGATCTCTTAAGTTCAAGGTCAGCCTGGTCTATAGAATGAGTTTTAGGACAGCCTGGGCTAAAGAAACTCAGTCTTGGGGATGGGGGGGAAGATTTATTTTATGTGCATGAGTGTTTTATCTGCACTTGTGTATGTGTACCATGTGCATGCCTGGTGCTTGCAGAGGTCAGAAGAGAGTGTTGGATCTGCTGGAACTGGAGTACAGAGGGTTGTGAGCCACCACGTGGGTGCTAGGAACCAAACCCAGGTCTTCTGCTAGAGCAGCAAGTGCTCTAACTGCTGAGCAACCTCTCCCAGGGGTCTTGGAGACCCCTGTTTTTCCCTGCAGAGCCATCTGTCTTACTGGTCATTTCCTGTTTTAACAGGTTGGGAGAGGAGCAGTTATGAAGGGTGAATGAGATATTCCAGTAGCAACACAGGGAACGGCTTCCTGAAGACAAGAGCGCTTTTCAAGTAAAAAAGCCTCCTGGACATCACTAGGGATATAAATTCAGGGTCTCCCCAACCCACTGGACCCAGAGGCGATGCAGTTCCAGAGGACGGTTCTCAGCTGAGCCAGACACCACCTCTGCAGAAGGATACACATCTTCCAGCCCAGCTAGCCACATAGTTGGTTTCAAACACAGCAACCTGAACCTGAGGTTCCCGTGTCTTGGGTGCTCTGACAGGCAGTACCACAGTTCCAGTGAAGCGACAAAAGCTCCCTAGGTCACAGTCTGATTGGGGACAAGTCCCCTTTACTCATCAAACTTTCCTTGGCTCTAGGACAGATTAAGGCAAGCCTGAGTGTGATGGGTAAGAAAGGAGCTTGTCGGCCAATCCCAGTTGTAAATGTAACTTACTCTCCTGTAATAACTGTCTCAGAGGCTCAGTGCCTCAGTCGGCTAACCTAGGCCTGGAAGCCTCTAGCATCTGTACAATGTAATCTAGGCCTACAATGTTTTCAGCCTTCGAGACTTACTCCTGAATAAGCTCGCCCTTTCTTGCTCTTTCTGAACCCTGGCTAGCTGGTCAACTCAGCTAATGCTGGCTCAAACTCTTTCCCAAGCTGACCGATTCAGTCTAACTTCTCAGTCTCTGACTTTCTGCTTTGCCTGGCCTTAAACTAACTCTGGCAATTTATTCTAATTTTCTGGCTCGCTCTTATTCTCTGGCTTGTTCAGTCTTCACCTGTGTCTAGCTTCTTCTCTCTCTGCAACCTGTCTCTGTAAAGCTGTCCCAGGAAAACTGCCACCTTCGTCTTTTTCTTGTCAAGTAGCTTCCCTTTCCTCTCTCTTCTCATAAGAGTTGGGCACATTCTGTTCTGTCCAATCTTCAATTTGTCACTTTGTCTGCCATTCAATTTGACATCACTTTCAAACATGGTTGCTTCCTTCTACAAACCAACTTTCCTTCATTGTTTGGGATTAAAGGTGTACAGTAAGGACTGAGCCACACCACATCTAGAAACAGGGTTTTTCAGTAAATAACACAACCTCCGGGTTCACAGTGTGATCAAATATCCTGCAACACCCAGTCCCACCAGAGCTATTCAGAAGGACCCATATAGATCCTGAACTGTGTCAGTTTCACCCCGGGATTTCTTTCCTGCATGAACAAGCTATTATTGATACATCCTGATGACATGTATTGGGGACACAGGTCAAGAAGTTCCCTGAGGAGTAGACAGAGGATTCCTTACTCATTAGCACCTGTGGGAACCCACCTATCAGAACCTGGCCTATTTACAACTCAAGTTCTGAGATGACAACTCCAGAACACCTGCCCTGAGGCCCAAGTGTGTCTTCTACTGTTCTCCAAAATATACCACACTGAGACTCCAGCCTCCCCTGCTCAGAACGACTCTAATACAGCAGAGAGATCAGCAATGGCGCAGGGCCTGGAGCAGGGTCACTGCCCTGAATGGCACTTGAATTACAGTGACATTCAGTATGCTCAACTACAACAGCACAGAGCCAGCCTTCTAACCCACTGTATTAGTGCCAGCGTGGCTCTGTGTTAGCTGAGCTTACACATTCTTGGAGACTCTAAGGGAGCGGTAAGACCAGCATCTCCCCAAAGAAAGAACTTGGTCCAGAGAAGGAAGAGCCACAGTCAGAGACAGAGGTTAAGAGGTAGGAGCAGAAGACTGAGAGCTCAGGTGGGTTGACAACCAACAGCTTACGCAGGAAACCCCCTGGGAGTCTATTGGCTCAGGATGGGCACAGCTTCCACAGGGGTTCCTAATCCTGCCAAGGAAAGCAACTGCCTGTAGCTGGCAGGTAGACAGCACAGCTGGGCCAAAGCTACAATAAAGACAGCAACAATAAAACAGAACCCCACCAGGCAAGGTGGCGCACACCTTTAGTCCCAGCACTCAGGAGGCAGAGGCAGGTTAGTTTACAGAGTTCTAGCTAGAGAGAAACCCTGTCTTGAAAATGAAACAGGAAACAACTCAGTGGAGCATGATCCTAGAACTGAAGAGGCTGAAGCAGGAGGGTCCTGAGTTCAAAGCCAGCATGATTATATAATCAGATACTATCTCAACAGTCCCTACCTCAAATGGGCAAAATTTCAGATCTCACATTGCAGCCTACTGTCAGTTCCCAAGCACAGATGGGGGTGTATGACATGACTCACAGAGAGCACATGTGAACACAGCAGTGGAAAGGACAACCAGCCCCATAGATTCAACTGAGGAGACAACCTGATTCTCTCCACTCAACTCCAGTCACACCAGAGAATGTAGAAAAAAATCAGGATCCTGGATTTTCATTATGCAGCTCCAGACTGCTCAGAGACAAGGAAGGCAAGGGAATGGCCCTCAGCTTCAGCAGGCAAGCCACATTCCCACAAGTCCCCCAGCACACACAGGGTAAATCCACCTTTCACTATCTACACAGGAGCAGAAGCCAGCAAACGGTTTTTTGGTTTTGAAGTTAACTTAAATCCAATCTCTCTCTCTGCCTCTTTCGGGACAGGTTTCTTCTGTGTAGCCCTGGCTGTCATAAAACTCTGTAGACCAGGCTGGCCTCTGCCTTCAGTATGCTAGGATTAAACACTTACACCTACCGCCCACACCTGACTTACTTAGAACAATCTTGTTTAAAAATAGAAAGAGAAAATCAAGTCTAGAGAAATGATTAAGATATTATACAGGAAGCCTGTGTAGCCTTCAGAGACAACTGTTCCAGTATTTCCTACTGCTCTAGTCCCCCCCCAACAGAACACACACCAACAGGCACCCCCTCACACACACACACACCACAGGAAAGGAGCACAGGGAGACTATAGTCCCAAAGGAAAGCTGTCCACAATTTAAAATGTATTCATTTTTATTAAATAAAGGGTTTCATTGGCACCATCCACACACCTTTGCCCCTAAGACATGACCACGGAGAAAAGCCACTGTACCAAATGCTACCAACTTTCATCTGAGTGTCCTTGTTCTCTGGGTGTAAGCCCCCCCAAGCCTTGCTGCGAGCACATCCTTGCAGACAGCAGCCACATGTGGTCACCTGGAGGAGCTGCGTTCTTTGCTCACACAGTCATCCTGTGAGGTAGTGTCCCCATTTCCCACCATGCTGCAAGTTCTCCTCTTCTTCCTGCGGTGTGTCGTCCCATCACCTTCTGACCCAGATTCACACTGGACATAGGGAGGAAAAACAATTCAGGGCCGGGAGACAGCTCAGCGGATAAAGACTTGGTGCTAAGCTTCATGACCTCAGTTCAATCCCTGGGGGCTCACGTGATAGGAGAATCAACTCTCTCAGTTTCTGCCTCCACCTGTGTGCTACGGTAAATATTGAGATGCACAAGCACACACATAATCAGTCAACAGAACATCAGAAGCTGTAGGTGCTGGAGACAGCTCAGTAGCCAAGGGCACTTCCTCTCTTCTAAACAACAAAATTCACTGTGAAGTTTGTCTACAGAGGAACAATGTTCTTCGTAAGGGCACTGCAAACCAAAATGTTATAATAGAAGAGACCTGGCAGAGTGTGGTGATGCACACCTTTAATCCCAGCACTCAGAAAGCAGAGGTAGGTGGAGCTCTGTGGGTTCAAGAGCAGCGTTTGTGGGTTCTGGTTTACAGAGTGAGTTCCAGGACAGCCACAGCCAGAGTGTGAGACTCTCAAAAACAAACAAAAAAATCCCAAACCAAAAACCCTTTAATCCCAGCACCTGGGAGGCAGATTCAGGTGAATGTCTTGTTAGTCTTAGGCCAAACTGGCCTGCATCGTGACTTCCAAAACAGCCAGCGATATGTACAAAGACCTTGACTCAAAAAAAAAAAAAGCAAGTCAGACGTGGTGTTTCATGCCTTTCATTCAGCATTTGAGGCCAGCCTGGTCTACAGAGTGGGTTCCAGGAAAGCCAGGGCTACACAAAGAAACCTTGTTTTGTTTTCTTTGTTTTGTTTTGAAGACAGGGTTTCTCTGTGTAGCCCTGGCTGTCCTGGAACTCAGAAATCTGCCTGACTCTGCCTTCCAAGAGTTGGGATTAATGGCGTGCACTGCCACTGCCCGACCTAGAAACCTTGTTTTGAAAAACAAAAACAAAATATAAAACAACAACAAAAATCAAAACTGAAACCACAAAATAAGAATTCCATGTAGACAAAACCTGCCTTGCTTCCCTTTTTTTCTGAATTACTGAATGTCCAGCACAGGGCCTTCCTAGGCTAGACACATGAGCACAGTGGCCCCAGCAGCAATCCTTCTGACAGGGAAGACCACCTTCTCACCTTGAGCTGGTGTTAACTAAAGCAGGTCACTGGGTTTGCCTGTTTCTAGACTTACATGTTATCATCCACAGGGAAAATTTTTAACAAGGGTTTTGTGCGTGGTCAGAATAAAGACTCTATATCCGGACCCTGTGATCACAACCCTTCACACACCCCAAGCACCTCTGCAGCAGATGAGCTCACATGTGTGAGCCGCTGTAAATGGGTGCTGTCACAGGAACGGCAGCACCTGTCCTGAATGAGGACACTGTGCTCCACTGCCCTTGGACTGAGAGGGCCTGGGCAGGCGAGGGCCTCACCTCTGAGTCTGAGTCGGACGAGCTGGAGCTGGAGGAGCTGGAAGAGTCGCTGGAGCTGTCAGAGGCAATGCCTGTGGACTCTTGGAGGTCGACGGCATCAGCGAGGACTGCAAGCTCAGGGTGTTCCTGCTTCAGGATCCTGAAGGGCAAGAGGACTGTTCTCAGGGCTGTCACAGCTGGTGGCAATGCCCACTCAAAATGACACAGAAGCAAAGTGGAGGCCTCCACTGCTTACAGCACCTGGAAACGCCTAGTGCTTTGGCTGGAGTGGCTCCAGGTGGCACGACTGGGCTGGGACAGACCACACAGGCTGTTCACATTCACTGAAGGACAACAACATTCTAGAGCCACACACCTGTGTGAGCACCAGCCACACACCTCTGGAGGCCGAGTTTCCTGAGGGAGGGGGAGGTCCTTAAGATTTTTCCCTTGAGAGAAACAGCCCCTTTCCTACTGTTCTCCCTAAACCTTTTCTGACTCCTTTTCCTTTTTTGAAAGCTTTTCCTTCCCAAAGCACGGTGCTAGTGAGGAGGGTGGGAGCTGGTTAGAGTACAGTAAGAGCAGAAACAATTAGGTTCGTAAGAAATAAGATGTCACATAAGAGACCATCCCCTCACTCGGAAGAGAAACCAAGCTAAGAGCAGTAGCCCTCCCCAGCAGCACCCTAACCTGACATCTGTGACCAGTGACAAAGGACCTGCTGGATGCTGAGGCCTTGGAGTGGCCTCACTGCAGCACACAGTGGCCTACAGGGCAGAGTACGTAGGCCTCATGCCCGAGAATCCAGGGGAATAGCAGCCACCACCCTTGCTGGCCTCTCAGCAGGGAGGCAGAGCACTGAGCAAGCCAGAATCCCTCTCTTACCCCGAGAGCTGGTCCCTCCAGGTCAGGGTTGGGACACAGTGGCACGGGGTGGCTGGGGGTGGCTTGCACTGCCGCTGCCCGTGCTGTATCTGTTCTGTGGATAAACAGAGGAGCTAAGTCTCCAGGGCAGTCGCCTCACAAGAACTGAAGGTAGTAAGTTCAAATGAATGTTTCCAGGGAGAATAAAAACCTCAACAAAGGCTTTTGTTGTTATTGTTGTTGTTTTGGCTAGTGCTAGTTTTTATTTTTAAAAAAATAACAGACAAACAAAAAGAATAAAAAGAATAAGAAAAAAGGAGAAAACAGGGCATGAAAACAAAGTAAGAACCAATCCCAATCGTGACATGTCGACTGTGCCGTTGAGCACACATGCAGAGCCAGCCACACGCTGCCACCTGGAGGCTAGCAGACACCCTGCCGACTAGTCCTGACCTTGGGTCCTCTCTAGGCTTCTGAGCCCCAGCTGTTCCCTCCAGTACTGCAGCAGGGAACACTTCCCTTTTCATCTTTGGGGAGAGAACTGGAACAAAGCAGAAGGGAATAAAAAGTTTCTCACCTATACCACTTCCTTGATAACTTTGGTCTCCCTCTTACCGTCTTGTGCCACACAACAGGGAAGTTGGTGCTGCTGGCAAAGTTCTGGGTGATGGCAATGGTGGTGTCAAGATTGAGGACAACATGCCACCAGCCCCCTGAAATCCAACAAATGAAGAACTCAGTGAGGATCAGCCCTGCAGACACCCTGGGGTCTCCCTCAGCAGAGGTGGGCCTGTACTCTCTCCACCGTTTCCAGGCCCCATTAGGCAGAGCTGAGTGATGGCAACACAGACTGTCTGCCTCCTGGTCAGCTAGCTGTGACTAACGCTGTAAAAGCAACGATTCTAGGGGGACCCCTAGCCTTTAATTAAACTCTCCCTGCTGGAAACTGCACCCATCCAGGTCTACAGAGGCATGTGGAACATGGAGGTGCTCTCCCTATGTACTTGAGACCCTAACTCTATGGTCACGGGGGGAGTGCACACACCCAGCAGATAGAAAGGGACCATGTGTCTCATTCTATGATTCTACTCAAAATGAAATACAGCACAGGCCCAGAACAGCTGGAGCTGGAAGACTGTAGTTTCTTCTAGCTCATCTATACCTGGTACAAAGACAGTTTCTCCTGGTTTCTGCAATATCTCCAGGGGTTTGAATTCAGGTGGCCAGGTTGGAAGCTGTGTCCGGGGATAAATGACATTAAACCAGGTAATTGCTTCATCCTGTTGGTTCCCTCCTTCTTCTCGGGTCACCTTGATGAGTTCTCGGGGTGTGTTTGTTGGAAACAGGCACCACCGCTTGTGACCCTGAACTAAGGCATTCCAGGCACTGGTCCCCAGAGGGTCAATGTGAATCCCAGTTCCGGAACGTGGCGGCCCCATCACAAACCACCTATAGGATGCAAACATGAACCCATGAGAGCTAATCTGAAATGTGTGTGACATAAAAGTCTCTATAATACACCACCATGCATACTGTCTTCAGAATCTACATTCTGGGATACAGCATTCAGTGAACTGTATGTGAGCTGATGGCTAACAGAAAAGAAAAACCCACTGATGCAAATTACTGCTGGACTTTTATCCATCCGCTGGGTGTGGTGACCCAAGCTTTTAATCCCAACATCCTGGAGACAGAGACAGGTGATCTGTCAATTCAAGGCCTACCAGGGCTACACAAAGATCCCTATCTCAAAAAACCCAAACTAAGCCAGGTGTAATATTGAACATCTTTAATGCCTACCACTTAGAAGGCAGGGGTAGACAGATCTCTGTGAGTTTAAGGTCAGCTTGGTAACATAGTGAGTTACAGGACAGTCAGTACAAGAAATCACGCTTGTAAAAACATAAATTAAACTTCCTTGCTAAAGCAGTGGTTCCACTAAAATGTCCTAGGGCTGGGCAGGAGAGATGGCTCAGGTTAGGAGCAATGAATTCACAAAAGAACCCGCGGTTCACATAGCACCTCACAGTCAGGCTCACAACTATCCATAATTTCAGCTCCAGAGAATCTGACCCTCTCTTCTGACCTCAGGCAGCAGGCACACACACTGGTACAAAAACATGAATGACGTTTAAAACATACACACACATACATATACACACACACACACCCCAATGGATTCCATCTTCCCAAGTAGGACCATAAACAAGTCAATGTGTAGGAAGACCCTCATTGCTTTTATATGGCTAGACAGAATTCTGCTAACCTTACAATCTGGAAGGTTTTCGGATTTGTGTGTGTGTGTGTGTGTGTGTGTGTGTGTGTGTGTGTGTGTGCGCGCGCACGTTCACGTTTTTACCCCGAGACAGGATTTCTCTGTGTGGCCCTGGCTGTCCTGGAACTCACTCTGTAGCCCAGGCTGGCCTCACAGAGATCTGCCTGTCTCTGCCTCCCAAGTGCTGGGTTTAAAGGCTTGTGCTACCACTCCCTGTCACTGTCGAAGGTTTTTGAACACTTGATGTGAAACACTTTACCTGTACGGGGGTCTGCGCTTCTCCCCCGCGTACTGGAAAAGATCGTCTGTGAAAAACTTGGGCACCTTGTAGTCTTCCAAAAGTTTCCTCCTTTTGGGGTGTTCGCCATAGCTGCTATCAAAGATGTAAAGGGGACTGTCGTCGCGGGTGCTCTCCATGTACTCGATGTAGTATTTCATCTTCATCTTCACTGAGTAGCCGTCATTATCCTCACCGCACTTGAACTTCTGGTTCCGGTATTTCCTTTTGAGGCGCTCCAGAGTCCATTTCTCCTGTGCGGACCAGCCCTCTTGGGCATTCAGCAGAACCACGGGCTTGTAAGGCCTTTCGTACCGCTCTACAAATTCTTTCACCGACAGCTGTAAAGCATCAGCTCTCTCCACGTTATCCTGGGGGAAACAACAAAAAGACCCGTCCCGTTAAGACACTGGAAGAAGTCCAGCGGCGGGTAAAGGTGTCCCACAGGGCCAATAAAGCAAAGACACACATTAGCAATGACACACATTAGCAAAGAACGAGCCTTTGCTCCTCCAGGGGGAGGGAGGCCCACGTGCGTGAGGGTGAGCACGTCGCACCCGGAGCCACCCCTTCAAGGGAGGGAGGGGCCCGAAGCTCCCACGAAAGAGCGAGTTTTGACAGCTCGGCCGCGGCGCGGGGCCCCGTCGGGGGGCAGGCGGCCCTTGCGTGGCGGGCACCGAAGGCGGACAGCCGCTGAGTGGGGGTCCCGCGCCCCGCTCACCGGCACGGCCGCAGGGCTCAGCGGGTAGCTCTCGTAGTAGTTGTGCCGGGTCCAGTCGAGCGAGTCCTTGAGCTCGGGCCGCGCACTCCGCTTGGCCTCGCGGATGCGCTTCTTGCTCTTGTGGTTCATGGTGAGCCGCTCGCCGTCCGGTTCCGCCACGACCTCGACGCGGCTCGCTTCCTGCCACCAAATGCGCCCTCCCCAGCTGGCGCGGCACCGAAACGCCCTTCGCTCCGGCCCGGCGCCTTTAAAGTCGCCTTCCAGAAAATTCACTCCCCAGCCACCACCGGAGCTTCGGGTTGGGCGAACAGCGGCCGTCCTCCCCGCCCCACGGCCTCATGCGGTCCGCCATTGGCCTCAGCGACTTGCCAGATCCGCCTTCACGCGCGCCAATTGGGCGCCATGTTGGGAAGGTCGCGTCGCTGACGCTCTGCCCCCTCCCTGCGCAACACTTCCGGCTGCGCGTCGCTTCCCCAGGTCCGTTTCCGGCCGGGCCCGCTGTGGCCTTCTGCTTCCTGTGTTTGGTTTGGTCAGCGTCCGGCCCGGCGCCCCTGGACTCCCCTCCGTGCGAGCGTGGCCTCATGGCCGGGGCCCGGCGCTTTCGGTTCCGGGAGGAGCCAGGCCCCGGGGCCGATGGGGCCGTGCTGGAGGTCCGCGTCCCGCAGGTGCGTGCAGCGGCACCTACGTGGGAGCGCCCCCTGGTTGGAGCGTTGGGAGTGGGGAGTCCCTCAGTTCTCGGCGTCGTTCATTAGCACCAGGTCTGGTATGAAGCCCGGTGAGGGATTAAATGTGCTCCAGTGATAACATTTAGGGACCGTGCCAGGAAGGAGACACTGAATTCTACCAGGAACGTGGCTGTCTTGTCCTGCGATGCAAACTTTGAACTTTTTTGAAAGCATATATCAATATATCTAACACCGCCTCCCTCCCCCCAACCCCACACCTCTGGGTACTCTTGATTAAACCTCTGCCGGTTAGGCAAGTGCTCCACCACTGAGCGATATCCCTAACTCCCTTTCTGTTTTATTTCTGAGTTCAGGCAGGCTTTGAATTTGAACCCGTTTCCTGCTTCTTAGAGTTACAAGTGTGCGCCACCATGCTGGTTTGAGCAGTGCTGGGGCTCGAACCCAGGACCCATACGTGCTAGGTGAAAGTTGTGCCTTTGAGTTTATACCTAACCCTGTAATCTTCTCTTGGTTTACGTTTTGGGACCAGGGGTTCCTGTCTCCAACACCCCAATAAAGTTTTCGACATCGGCCCTGGCTTGTTCCTTACAGATACCCTAAAACTGAATAATAACTCGTCTGGAATAGTCAGGCTTTACAAAGGATTTTCCTGTTTGTTTTTTGTTTTTTCGAGACAGGGTTTCTCTGTATAGTCCTGGCTGTCCTGGAACTCACTCTGTAGACCAGGCTGGCCTCGAACTCAGAAATCCGCCTGCCTCTGCCTCCCAAGTGCTGGGATTAAAGGTTTGCGCCACCACCGGTGGATTTTCCTGTTGTAATGTTAGCAGCTGGCCCATAGGTAGGTAGGTGTTCCTAGCAGTAGGGGGAGCAGAAGGTACAGCCCTATGCTGCCATCTGTAGCAGTCTGCGTTTTTTTCCAGAGACTTCTACACAAGTGAAGCAAAGATTTTGTTCTGTTTTGAGACAGGGTTTCTATATATATATCCTTGGCTGTTATGGAACTCGCTCTGTGGACCATTCTGGACTCAAGAGATCAGCATGCCTCTGCCTTTGGAGTGTTGGGATTAAAGGTGTATTATACTCCTCCCTCCCAGCAGTCTCTACCATTCATTAGAGTAGAGATTCTTAGCTGTGTACTACAGAAAAATATTTCAGGACGAATCAGTATGAAGCAGAGTTGGAAGATGCTAATATTTAAACCTGGATTTAAGTTTGGGAGTTAACAGACACTTTGGAAAGGTCACAGAAGTAATGGATTATGGGCTTCACAAGTCAGAATATTTCACTCAAGTGTCTTAATAGCCATATGCATGATTTGGTTACATCTGAAGTTACATTGTTTAACGGATTTCTAAGAAACTTCTTTTAGTAAATAAGACCATAGGGTGATTAGTGAGGTGGATTGGACAGGAGGTGATGGTGCCCAAACCATGTGCTACAAGGGTCAAAGGAGACTTTACACTAGGTCCTAAGGGGTGTTGACATGTTCCTAATCTTGTGAGATTCTCAGAAAGCTGCAGGATACAGCTGGGAAAGCCGTGAGGTTATATTCAAAGGTCAGACAATTTCACAAGAAGCTTGTTTGCTGTTGTTTTGAGGGGTTTTCTTTGTGTGGTTTTGAGTCTCACTTTGGCTGTGGCTGTCCTAGACTTGCCTCTGTAGACCAGGTTGGTCTTGAACCCATAGAGACCCACCTGCCTCTACTTCCTAAGAGCTGGGGTCAAAGGTATGTATCACCATTCCCTGCTGGTTCTTTGCTATTTTAACATTCTGGTTTGAAATCTTTCTGTATCAAGAACTTTGCTCCTCTATAGACAATTACTTTCCTATGGACTTCTTATTTTCCCTTGTCCATCTGTCCTTTCTCAGCAGTTCAGTGTTACAGGGAAACCCAGCATAAGAGAGACCAAAACCAAACTTGTCTCCTGTAGCCTCCAAATGTCTTCATGTCAAAAACTTGAATTTCCTTCCAAATTTAGGGAGTAAAGATATTCCCTAGGAGTAAAAAAGCCCAGTTTCTTTATATAAAAATCTGCATTTCTTCTAGAAACATCCTTCTCTGGGCCTTTATTGTACTCATAGGTAAAGTCTACCAGGCCAGGCCTTTACTCAAAGCCCAGTCCATTTTGTCATAGGCATGTGTATATATGTTATACTGAGGGTATCATGCTTAGCCACGGATACTTGGTTTTTGAGACAGGATTTTATTATGTAGTTCTGGCTGGCCTGGAACTACCAGAGACCTGCCCACTTCTGCCTTTGTTTTTTTTGTTGTTGTTTTGGTTTTTTTTGTTTTGTTTTGTTTTGTTTTTGTTTTTTCGAGACAGGGTTTCTCTGTGTAGTCCTGGCTGTCCTGGAACTCACTCTGTAGACCAGGCTGGCCTCGAACTCAGAAATCCACCTGCCTCTGCCTCCCAAGTGCTGGGATTAAAGGCGTGTGCCACCACTGCCTGGCATCCACTTCTGCCTTTCAAGTGTATTAAAGCCATGCACTACCATACCTTGCTTTATTTTTTTATTTACAGATTAATTTTTTGCTGGGCATGATGATGGCCCATGCCCTTAATCCCTCCTTTAATCCTATCATTCAAGAGGAAGATATGCAAGAGGATCACTGGAATTTAAGGCCAGTACAGTCTGCACAGCCAGTTCCAGGACATGCCCAGCAACATAGTGACTTTGTCTCAAAACTGGAGAGCAGGAAGCTCTTTGAACTGCTGAATCACCTACCTGGTCCCTATTTTTGCCCTGTGGCTTCATTTAAATCAAGTGCATGAGTATATCATACACACATTTGTAATTTTAAGTAACCAATGTTTCTCTGGCTTTTCCCATCATTCACTTCCCAGTGTTCTTCATACTTCTTCCCTCCACGCCTCAGCACTGCCTTCCCTCCTTGCTCCGTAATGAAGCTGACTTTTATGTTATCATTCTTTTTTGAATCAAAGTCTATGCAGTCCTGGCTGGCTGAATTTATGGAGATACACCTGCTTCAGCCTCAAGTGTTGAGATTAAAGACGAGTGTCACTACATAGGCTTTTTATGATGACAGCTGTTTTCCTTGCATCTTGTGTCTATTGACCACCTACATGTAGTGTCCTCAGAGGCCAAAAGGGCCTGTTAGGTCACTTGGAACAGGAGATCCAGATGTTTGCTAGCTGCAGAGACCTGGGCTAGCTTCATAATCACCAGGCATGCTAGTGCATATACATACAGACAAAACCCTCACACAATACCTGGGTCTAGGTGTGGTGTGGTATATGCCTATAATTCCAGCACTCAGGAGAATAAGGTAGGATCAAGGGCAGCCTGGGCTACACTGGAATAGAGCACTGGTTTCAGAACCGCAGGCTGTGGACTAGAGAGGACTATCATGGTAATGTATATGTCAATGATTAACTTTCTTTGCAGGTCCTGCATGTCCAGTATGGGATGTATGTTTGGCCCTGTGCTGTAGTCCTGGCCCAATACCTGTGGTTTCACAGAACATCACTGCCAGGCAAAGCTGTTTTAGAGGTAACCAGTTACCAGAATACTGGGTTGTATTTGCTGTGCCTTCATGCTATGTAGTCTGTATTTAAATTAATTGGTTAGTTTGGCAAAGTTTGGAATTCTGAACTAGGAAAAGTATTCATGTTTTTAAATTAAAGTGACTTGAGGCTGGAGATGGCTCAGCGGCTAAGAGCACTGACTTCTCTTCTACAAGTCCTGAGTTCAATTCCCAGCAACCACATGGTGGCTCACAACCATCTGTAATGGTATATGAAACGTGAGTGTATTCACGTACATAAATCTTTTAAGAAAAAGTAACTAGACAGTCTGGAAATCTTAGCTATAAAGGGAATACCAGTTAGTGGTATAAGTGGCTAAAGCCAAGTCACCTTTTCTGGTACTACATGCAGTCAGGTATTCCAGTTCCTACTAACAGGACCGGAAACCATGGTAGATAGCATCACAAAATTTATCTGTGATACCAATTAAACTACCTTGACATAATATGGAAGTAGAAGTCCTCCTTTAAATTTGAAGCAAATTTTAGCCATTAACTTCTAAACCTAGACTGCTTGTTGTCAGGGGCAGTGTTATGCCTTTATTTCCAGCTTTGAGATTCAACAGGCAGATGCTCAAAGCCAGCCTAGAATATGCAAACTGTCTCATTTGGAATGGGAAAACTAAATTATTCTTAAATACTGTTTTAGATTGGAGCTGGAGTGAGCCTTCCAGGGATTTTGGCTGCCAAATGTGGTGCTAAAGTAATACTATCTGACAGCTCCCAGTTCCCACACTGTTTGGATATCTGTTGGCAAAGTTGCCAGATGAATAACCTGCCACAAGTCCAAGTTGTAGGGCTGACATGGGGCCACATATCAAAGGACATTCTGTCTTTGCCACCACAAGACATCATTCTTGGATCTGATGTGTTCTTTGAACCAGAAGGTAAGTATAATTTATAGCAAACCTGGCCAGATGTATCTTATAAAACTATCTATAAAAGTACCCCACCCTTCCCTAGACTTTGAAAGTATTTTAGCCACCGTATACTTTCTGATGCAGAAGAACCCAAAAGCTCAATTTTGGTCTACATACCAGGTCAGAAGGTGAGTACAGATAATTTACTAGCTGCTTTTATAACAAAAATGCATTAAAACAAGAAGGGCATAAAATCATAAAAACAATTTACTTTCTTTTAAGTGCTGACTGGTCACTTGAAGGCTTGCTCTACAAGTGGGATATGAAATGTGTGCACATTCCTCTGGAGTCTTTTGATGCAGACAAGGAAGATATAGCAGAGTCTTCCCTTCCAGGAAGACATACTGTTGAAATGCTAATCATCTCCTTTGCAAAAGACAGTTCTGAATGAATTGTACCTCAAGCTGTTCTGGAACAGTGTCAAGACTGAATAACCTGAATTAAAGACAAACTATATCTTGATGAAACTCAATGGGTATGAAGATGGCCAGTTCTGCAGGCCTTATGGTTATGTCATGCCTAGGGTAGCACTCAACTTTAACAAAATTAAACATTGAAAAGGACTCAGACTCTGTTCCCAATCATTAAAGTAGACCCATTTTGACACTGATACCACTAAAAAGCAGTCAGGTCCGACCCACATTTTCCTATTGAAATACCTTGCATTTTAAACTATAAAGCTGTTAACATTCAAAGTATCTAATTGCATAGGTCTCAAGATTAAACTGAGGGAAATAAAAGACCAGGACATATTCTCAAAAGAGCTAACACCAAGAAAACACTTTAATCAAACTACAGAAACAATGGTTATAGTACAGAATATTCATAAGCAAAAGATACACCATGTTTAAAGTACTTACAAAGTTACAAACCATTTGCTTCCTTAACATTTTCTGATTTTTTTAAGTTCACAACATAAGGATCAGATTTACCATTTTGAGCTTTCTTTTTTTTGAGGGAAGGGGGGGTGTAATTATCATCAGCTAGATGTGCTCACTGTATGCTCCATTATTTATATGCAAGGCCCGGGTGACTGGAAGTGCAGTTGTCAGGCATTTTAATAAACTGGACAGCCATTTGTTTCTGCACGACAAGGCATCTTTACACAGGAGCAATCAGGAGAAAACAGGAAACAGCCAAGCACTCTGCACTGCAACACGCCACCTTAACAGCTAACCAGCATTACTCAACTGCTACACAACTGCGCCTAGTGCACAAAAATACATAAGAGAAGAGATTAGAATTGTGCCGGGTAAACAATCCTTTAAAAATAAAATTAAGTCTTTTCACCTGAAAAGTCTTTATACAAATTTGGGTTCAGATTATCATTTAGACCTGAAGGTAAATAACATATATGAACAAATTACACCAACTTTCATCGATTTTTAATTTTTAAAGAGTGAAGGCAATGTTGAGTCAATCTGCTGACAGCTTTAGGCTGTATGTAATGGCTGCACATGTTTCCTTATTAAGTCAGGAGGCCACAAATTAGGTTACCAATCTGTTTAATTTCAAACAAAAAAAGTCAGCACTATAAACAAAAATGAAATTTTACCTCAAATATCCAATCCAATAATGAAATCTGAAGTCGCTCACCTCACTAAATTACAAGAAATTTGAATAACAGCAACAAAATGGCACATAAAATGAAGTTTGCCACCTGAGGCAGATTAAAACAAGTAAAAAGTTAGACAAATGTTACAAAATAACCTTTTTAATAGCCAGTTGCTTGTTCCAAGGACTCTTCCATGGACCGGTGGACTGTGTGTGTGTGGTCCTTTCCCCCAAAAGTCCTCTGTTAAGCCGCTTGACGATCCATCTAGGTTTGAAAAGAAAAAGGTTCAGCTGACTTTCCACCACTACAAAGGTACCAAAGTGCACATGGTTTCAGTATCAGGCACGTGTACTTACTAAGGCTCTGGTGAAACAAGTAGGTTACAGAAGGTTCCACCCGGCCATTATCAATTTTTTTTAAGGCCCAAATGGGAGTTTTCCCAAAGGATACCACAGCTCGTTCGGATATGTGACTCTTGGCCAAATAACCAAGGCAAAAAAGAAAAAAAAAAAGGCAAGGGAGGGTTTAAAAGAAAAAAAAAAAAAAAAGGAAGGACAGGGTGGGGCTGTATCCAAACAAAAACTTGCTATCAGAAATTAGCCTACACTTCTAAGATGTTCGAAAATGAAACATTTGGCAGTTGAGGATGTTCTTAATCAGCTACTTAGGGCCCTTTCCTTTAAAAAGAAAAATAGGACCAAACAATTTTAGAGTTAAAGACACACTATCCTTTCCCCACCCGGTGCAATCAATACCTGTAACTTTCTTTTGGGGTTCCAAAAGTTCACTGCTTCTTAATTGCAATTCCTTTGCCACATCCATTAGAGTAAGAAGTCCCAGTCAGTACAACAACAGTTGCACTGATTGTTTTTCTCTATGAGGATAGTGCATCTTTAACGTTTAAAGACAAACCTGCTCCAATACACGCCCACAGAAACTGGTCCCTGGAGGATCAGCCAAATCAGTTAAAATCTGCAATACTGGCCAATATTCTTTTATCAAACAGGAGACCGCAGCTTTAAAGGGGGAAAATGCAGACGTTGGATAAAAACAGCAAGAAATAGTCATTTTCATTAATAGGTCTCAAACAGCACGAAACAGCCATTACTATCTAAGCTTTACACAGTCCTCTCTGCAGACCCCTCTTCAGCATCACTCCCAAAGCCGAGTAACTTCAGAGTAGCAGTACTCCTAACACCAGGAGTCTTTTATGCTAACACGGCTCAAAAACCCTGCTCCATACCCCACGGGAGTTAGGGCGTGTCTCAGATCCCCGCAGACATTACCATTTTCTTAAGAAGACACCGCTCCCTCTTCCTCTGGAGACTTGGGTGGGCTCTTGGACCGCGACCTAGACTTGGACTCTCTCTTCGACACGGGCGGAGGGCTTCTGGATCTCGACCTGGACCTGGACCTCGAGCGGGATCTGGAGACCGACGAGGACTTGGACTTGGATCTCCGGGCTGATCTGGACTTGGAGGTCGACCTCGAGCGCGAGCGAGTGCGGGACCGAGACTTGGAGCGGCTGTAGCGAGAACGGCTCCGGGACCGGGAGCGGCTGCGGCTTCGGGATCGGCTCCGCCGGCGGCGCCGAGGGCTGCGAGCGACGCGACAGGGTGAGTCGCAGGCCGCAGCCAGTCCCGCCCCGCCCGCCCCGCCGCCATTATCTGGCTGCCGGGCGCCATTTCCCTCGCCGCGAGGCGGGGTCTCGCACGGAGGGGCCCGGCCCCGCCGCCGCCCCGGCCACGAGGGAGGGGCCCGCTCCACGTGCTGCGCCGAGCTTTGTGCCCGCCGGCCTCCCGCTCCGCCCTCGGGCCCCGCTCACCTGCGGCTCCGCCGCCCGTAGCCGCCGCCGCCGTACCTACGGGGTGGCGGGCCCCGGCGGCTGTGGTGCGAGTCGGGCGGGCGGCCGTAGCGCGCCATCTGCACCCGCAGCTCGCGGCCGTCGAGCACGGCCCCGTCCATGGCGTCCATGGCGTCCTCGGCGTCGCGCTTGTCGTGGAAGCGGACGAAGGCGAAGCCGCGGGACTCCTTGGTGTAGCGGTCCCGCGGGATGTACACGTCGCCGACGCGCCCGTACTTCTCGAAGACGCGCCTCAGGGTGTCGGGCGAGGTGCGGTAGGTCAGGTTGTCCACCTTGAGGGAGGTCATGCCCTCCACATCGGGAGGCGGGCGGCCGTAGCTCATGGCTGCGCAGCGGCGCCGACACCCCGACAGGCCCTCGCTCTCGGGAAACGCGGCCTCCTCTCTCTCTCTCTTTCTCTCTCTCTCTCGGCAGCTATGGTCCTCGTGGAGCAGACGGGAGCAGCAAGGCCGCCGCAGAGCACCCTCACGGGAAGGACTCCTAAGCAGCAACTAACCGGGCGGGCGGGCCCCAGCGCGCATTTATATCCACCCTCACAAAATGGCGCCCGCGCCACCCGGAAATGAATCTCCTGATTGGCTGATTCGGCCGCGTTGCGTAACGTCGCTGCCGCGCGCCCCGCCCCCCTCCCGAGCGCGCCTGCGCACAGCGCGGCGGGCGGGCTGGAAAGCGCGCAGTCACTGCCGTGGGGAGGGAGAGCGGCCCGTGCGGACAGTTAGAAAGCCCGCCAAATGCTCGCCCGTGGGCGAGGCCCGCGAGGCCCGGGGGGAAGGGGAAGAACTAAATTGTATGGAGGGAGGAAGAGGAAGCGCTCCCCATCAGGGTCCCGCCCTCTTCTCCCACGCCAATACCCGGGCTCCACGCGCCGTTCCGCCCAACCATCAGCCCCGCCTGTCCGAGGGGGTGCTTGTGCTCCCTTTTGCCTTTCTGTGTCTGGGGCCACCTCACGTTCCCCTCTCCCGCCGCTCTTCACTTAGGCTTGCTGCGTCGGGCTACCTTAGTTTCACTCCTCGGGGCCTTTTCTCTCCCCGAAGGGACGGGTAGTATAAACCTAAAGCACGCGATAGCCAACAGCGTGCAGGCGAAGTCCTACCCCAACCCCCACGGGGCGCCCTGGACTACATTTCCCGGCGGGCCCTGCGCCCACAACTTGGTCAGCTGAGCGGTCTCGTGATCTGCTGTGAGTCAGGTCGGGAGGGCGGGCCTCCAGCAGCTGCTACTGCCTGTCGTTACCCCCCAAACCCGGTCCCTGCCTCTGGAGTTGCTGCGGGTAGACCCCGGGTCTCCTCTGCACTCGGTCGCGTCCCTGGAGTGTCCCGACTGTGCCAGTGGGGAGCGCTTTCCTCTAAGCCCGTGATTCCCATCCGAGGACTGGTAATCGGCAGTCTGGCTGCGTGGTTCTCTCATCTGGTTTCTTCCCTCAGGACTGTCAGGGGGTTCGACTGGAGGAGGAGAGGCAACTGTCCTGGGCCGCTGCTGACCTCCGAGCAAGCGGAGCCAAAATGTCCCCGGAATCTAAAAAGCTTTTCAACATCGTTATTTTAGGAGTTGCCTTTATGTTTATGTTCACCGCCTTTCAGACTTGTGGAAATGTGGCGGTGAGTTGGAATCCGTACTCCTTCCTTTGAAATGCCTGTCAGAATGCACTCCAGCTGTGACAATAAACGTTTGTGTCCGCTACCACGCCAGGATTGCACCTCCTGTTTTTCAACCCACTCTTCCTTGTTTTCTTAATTTTGTGTATCAGCTATCTCTCGTTTACGAGGTGTTAAACACTGGCATTTATTACTCAGATGCATCTTACAGTTTTAGTATGGACCATAGTTACTTTAATTCTTGTGAGTGTTAAACACTGCTTGGTGTTTGGGTGGCTTGTGGGCACAGCTGATTGTCGGTTCCCCATCTCGAGTGTGTCTTATGCAGTTGAGTCTTTTTTTTTCTCCTCTCATGGTGGGCTTGTGTGAGAAGTTTGGATCATAACATTTTTCTGAGTATTTAGGCTTTCCCGAGGGGAGGGAGATGACCAGCCCTTCGTTGATTAGTTTTATCTTCCACACAGCAAACTGTCATCAGGAGCTTAAATAGCACAGATTTTCATGGCAGTGGATATACCAGGTATTGTACTGTGTGCATGGTTTTATTTTGCATGTCCGTAGTTATTTTGCATGTCTGTAGTTCCATACATCTCCTCAGGAAAAGCAGCAATAAAATGTAACTGAAGAGTAGCAATGATTGTGTCAAATCTGTCTGTCTCTATTTCCGATTTTAGAGCCAGCCAGATAGATCAGTAGGTACAGACCAAGAGTACTTGAATCTTTTTTTATTTGTGTTTTTTGTTTGTTTGTTTGTTTTGTTTTAGACAGGGTTTCTCTGTGTAGCCCTGGCTGTCCTGGAACTCACTCTGTAAACCAGGCTGGCCTCGAACTCAGAAATCTGCCTGCCTCTGCCTCCCAAGTGCTGAGATTAAAGGCGTGCGCCACCACCGCCCCCAAGAATACTTGAATTAATCCTCAGAACCTACATGGTGGAAGAAGAGAACCAACTCCCGCAGGTTGTCATGTGACTTCCACACAGGCGTACGCTCTTTTTTTTTTTTTTTTTTTTTTGGTTTTTCGAGACAGGGTTTCTCTGTATAGCCCTGGCTGTCCTGGAACTCACTCTGTAGACCAGGCTGGCCGTGAATTCAGAAATCCACCTGCCTCTGCCTCCCAAGTGCTGGGATTAAAGACATGCGCCACCACCACCCGGCCAGGCGTACACTCTTATACTGTACAAACTTAAACAGGCCAGGCATGGGGGTATGTGCCTTAAATCCCAAAATAAAAAAAAAATGTGGTGGCAAATTTCATTACAATGATGACCTCAGGTCAGGTTTTTTGTCGAATTAGACTTTGGGATTGAAAGCCTGGCTTCAGAGCCGAAGTGCTTTGCTACTTTGGGCAAGTTATCTCAGTGACCCCAGGTTCTTTGCTAAGATCGTGGCTATACAGGCAGTGTAGTGCTTCCTGTTAAATATGCATGCAAGTCTTGTCAAAATCATGTTCTAATCCTAAACAGTGCTGTAATTGTTGAAACATTGGATCTTCGTGGCTTTGTAATTTCATTCTCAATTTGTAATTTCATCAGGAGCTTTTAATATTTTTGTGCTGTTCAGACTCAATTTTGTGGGCAGAGAAAATGAGAACTTCACAAGTCTGTAGTACTTTGGATTTGTAGCTGGAAATGGGCTGAACACATGTACATATATATCCTCTCCCTCCCTTACCTCTTAGAAAGTAGCCTTGACCCCTGTCTGGCCTTGAGCTTTACCCACTGCTGAGATACAGGACAAACAGGACACAGGTGGTTGCTTTGTGGTTAGCAGGGTCTCAGTCTAACCCTGGCTGGTCTTATTTACTTACTTACTTTGGGTTTTTGGCACTGGGTTTCTCTTGTACCCTTGGCTGTCCTGAAACTCACTCTGTAGACCAGGCTGACCTCAAAATGGCTGGTCTTAAAGTCACAGAGATCCTCTTGCTTCTGCCTCCCGAGTCCTGGGATTAACCAGATGTGCCACCTCATCTACCTCTGGATTCTCTTTAAAACAGAGAACCAAAACACTTTGAATTGACAAAGGTTGTACGTGTTTATCTCTAGTATGTATATATTGTAGGATTGTGAAATTAAGCTATACACACACTCGTTAAACTTATTTGATTGACTTAAGAAACTTGAAAAGATCTCACCTTGTAGTCCTCTCTGACTTGGAACCCAGCCATGCTTAGCCTGCTGAGTATTCAGATGGCAGGCATGCCTTGCTATGCCTAGATACTTTTTCTTAATTTCTCTGTGCTTGTAAGTTTGCTGTGTCCCCCAATTCCAAAACTCTCCTTACTTTGGTTCTTTATTACCTAAGCATAGTACATGGTACCTCAGGGTAAGTGGATGTTCGTGTCCATTTTTTTAGATAATTAAAGCTGTTACAGCTTTGTAGTACTATGTTTTCTGTGTGTTTTAAAGAATAAATGAAAGAATACATTCAATATTTGAGGTGCTTATGGAAGCCAAAGAAATACGAATTTACAGATTCAAATGAATTAGGCAGATAAACACTGCCTAATAAGTGAAATGAGGACCCTCAAGATAGCTTTAGTTGCGTTCTGTTCAAGGTATGTGTAGTAAGCTGGGTTAATCCCAGCGCTTGGGAGGCAGAGGCAAGGGGATATTTGTGAGTTCAAGGCCAGCTGGTCTACAGAGATAGTTGCTGTACATCCAGAGCTACGTAAGAGACCCTATCCCAAAACAACAACAACAAAAGATGTATACTAGCAAGGGGGGATAAAAGATACACGTAGTAGTTAGTGTTAGGCGTGGTGTGTGTGCTTGTGATCCTGGTATATGGGAAGCTCAGGCAGGAGAACTGTGGGTTCAAGGTCTGACCTGGCTATATAGTGATATGCTGTCTCAAAATCAACTGCCCAAATAGATAACTTGTATATTTATATAGCCTATATGTGTAAGTGAGCTCTGTATATGTAACAGGGCTGAAGAGTGATTGAAAAATGTTCAGGCAAGTAAAATTCTAGCATAAATTCTTAGCTTCTTATCTATAGCAGAGCAATGCCATGCAGCTCCCAGAAGCTGCAATGGACCCCTGGCGGTCCCCTGGAGCAAAGGCTCCTGGGCTGGAGGCTGACTCGGCTCTCCCTAAGGACTCCTTGAACTCGAGGCAACTTACTCACAGCAGTTCTGTTTTCTATAAAGTGAGACTAGGTAGCCGTGCCTTCCTTATAGCATCTAGACTTAAAGGAGGAAATATTTGCATAGTGGTTGGCACGGTACTTCTTACCACTCACTTTTGTTAAAAACGGTACTTGGGATCATGTTACAGGCAAGCCGGCTGCCAGAAACATGATACAAATATTTAATACGTGCCAGATGTGGTGGCACATGCCTGTCATTTTAACACTCCTGGGGCAGACAGTCAGGAGCATTGCTGCAGGTTTGAGACCAGCCAGGACAAGATTTAGAGACCCTGTCATAACCAACAAATAAAAACCAGCCAGATTTATTGTTTGCATGCCTCTAATGCCTGTAATCGTAGCACTCGGGAGGCTGAGGCAGGATTGCCGTGAGCTCAAACTCAGCCTGAGCTACATAGTAGGGCCCTGTCTCAAAAAAACGCTTACCCATCCACTAATAACTAAAACAGTCATGAAGTAAATGTTTACTTCTGTATGTTACATAAATGAGAACTTTACTCTAAGGATAAACTTTACTCTAAGCATAAATTCTGACTAAAGTCTGTGACAGTTTTTGTGTACTTAAAAAGTTTACATACTATGGATAGAATTTTACATTATCTTTATGTATGACATATGAGTGCCCAATACCATAGTGTACATGTGGAGATCAGGGGACAACTTAGGAGTCGGTTCTCCTTCCACATGGCAGAATCTAGGGATGGAACTTGGTCTCCAGGCTTGCGGAGGTGCCTCTGCCCACTGGGCCATGTGGCCGCCTAAGCAGAATTTTAAACGTGAGTTTTTGGGATGTTACTTAAGGTTTTTGTTCTTTTTTTTTCCCCTTCTGTATATTGAGCAGCTTGGCAATTATTTATGGCGTGTTCTCTGCTTCAAATTTGATCACCCCGTCCGTCGTCGCCATTGTCGGACCTCAGATCTCTATGTTTGTCAGTGGTTTGTTTTACAGGTGAGTGGGTCTTTTTTTTTCCATCGCTTGTTTAATTGAGAGTACTTCAGATCATCTCTCAAGCATGTAGAAAGTAGTTATTTCAGGGATCTGACACTCTCAGACTTGTTGGTTGTAAACACTCGTTCTAACCAACGAGTGTATCTGGTTGGTTTTTGTGTTTAAGACCGGGGCTCACAATAGCCCAGACCCAGGCTGGCCCCACACTGGAGATCCTCCTAGCTCAGCCTTCAGAGTTCTTCATATTATCATCAGGTTCCAAGGTGCCTGGCAGATATCATTGTTTGTCTTATTATTAATCAGAATCCAAAAATCTCTCTCTTTTGGGGTTGAAAAGAACCTTCCAAGACATAAGTTTGCTTCCTGTTATGTTGGCGAGCAGATTGACATGAACTTAGGAGATGTTTCTGGGCTCAAGCTTCATCCTGCACTGAGCTCACGCAGTCGTCGCAAACCTGCGAAATGTCTATTGACATCTCAAGATGGCAAACAACAAGCAGCCAGGGCTGGAGAAGGCTCAGTGGCAGATCACTGGCCTGTCACACTCAGAGGTCTGGGCTTGATCTCTTCCAGGGACAAAAAAAAGTCCCAAACCAACTCATGTTTCTGACAATTTCATAAGCCAACACTAAGAGAAAGCTTTCCAGGTGGAAGCTGAGGATGAGAGCGTCTGTGCTGGCCCTGGGGCAGCATGCTTAGCCCCGTCTCACGTACTGTTTGACTGTAATGCACTGACCTGTTGTATTTTAGCATGTACATTGCTGTTTTTATCCACCCTTTCCCATGGTCCTTCTACACAGCATCTGTCTTCATCGGAATCGCAGCTGCTGGTGAGCATCCCGTAAACACACTTCCCCCAGGGTGCGGGTGCGGTGCACATTAGTACCGGAAGCTACCCGATACCATGCCTCTAATGAACTTTTGGTTTGAATTTTAGTCCTTTGGACAGCACAAGGAAATTGCCTGACAATAAATTCTGACGAGCACACAATCGGGAGAAACAGCGGAATTTTCTGGGCTCTCTTACAGTCTAGGTAATAATCATCTCTTTGGAGTTCAGTCTGCCCCTGGGTTTCCTTATGACGTCACTAACTAGATCCTTACGGTGTGGTACAGATTCCCTCTTTATGGTGTACGTAAAGCGCATGGATCTATTTTACTAAAATTTAAAATTAGCAAATAGAAAATATTAATCTCTACATTAGCATCCTCTGTAGTTCAGGGCTTTGGGGTTATTTGTTTAGTTATCTTCCCGTAAACTCAGAAGGTGGGAGGCATTATCTGTAGTCCACAGCTGAGAAAATAGAGACTAAAAGTTAACCCGTGTGAATATGGCTATCTGGAGCCCAGGAGCCACATCCTTCCGACAAGCTGCACCGCCTGATAGCTGTGAACAAATATGCTCGGATTCAGAAGGGAGAGTGGCGGTCCCAAGTCTGAACCATACGGGACAGTAGATATTTTCTGAGAAAAAAGCCACAGTGGTCATTCTTACGCCATTGATTTCAGTAGTGTATCCCGAAGAGCTTGGTGTAGTGGAATGCACCTGTAATTCCACACTCAAGAAAGAGGGAGTGGGGGCTGGAGAGATGGCTCAGTGGTTAAGAGCACTGACTGTTCTTCCAGAGGTCCTGAGTTCAAGTCCCAGCAACCACATGGTGGCTCACAACCGTCTTTAATGGGCTCTGATGCCCTCTTCTGGTGTGTCTGAAGAGAGCAATGGTGAATACATTAAATAAATAAATAAATAAATAAATAAATAAATCTTAAAAAAAAAAAAAAGAAAGAAAGAAAGAAAGAGGGAGGGACAGGAAGAGTGCAGTGAATTCAAGACCAGCCTGGAGCCAGCGAGATGGCTCATCAGGAAAAAAGCTTGTGCCACCAGACCTGATGACCTGAGTTCTGTCCCTAGACTCACTGGTAGAAGGAGAGAACAGCTCCCTCAGCAAGCTGTCCCCTGACCTCCACTTGTGCCCTGTAGCCCCGGCACACTTCCCCTGAACACACAACTAAATGCAAGACAAAAATCTAGAGATGTTTGAGTTTTCATGAGACTTAATTTTGAGTGTTTAGTTGGTGGCATCAGGGACTGTGTGTCTGTGTGTGTGTGTGTTTTGTTTTGTTTTCTGTTTGGTTGGCTGGCCTTAAACTCTTGGGCCCAGTGTGATTATTTGTAGCTGAGCCTCCAGGTGCACCCCTCCATGCCTGGTGCAGAAGTTTAGCTTTAAGGAGGTAGAGATTAAGAAACAGGAGAGCCAGTGAGTAGTTGTTCCTTAGAGAAGTATGCCAGGCAGTTGGAGGTGTGGGTACTTAAATTTCGTGATACTTAAAATTTTACGACTTAAAAGTAGCATTAGTTTGTTTCCAACTTAATTGGAGAGTCCCAGTAAGTCACATGTGTCCGAGTGAATCAAGTCCTGCTGGGCGGTGCCGAGTCAGGGTACTGTCACATGCTTGCAGGTCAGTTAGCTTTCTCAGAATGTCAGGTGTGCTACTAAGTAATAGTACAGGTAAGTAATAGTGCAGGCAGGGTTCTTTACACAGTCACCTCCCAATTTTCTCACTAGCTTCTCTCCCCTCTCCAGGTAACAGGAGTGGTTTTAAAAGCCCTAAGTATGACTGGGCACAATGGCCCAGGCCTTTTGTCCCAGCACTCAGGAGGCAGAGGGAGATGGCTCTCTTGAGTTCCAGGCCAGCCAGGGTTACATAGTGAGAACCTGTTTCATGTAAATAAAGAACCTAACCAGAGGACTCCAGTGATGCCCCAGCATCTTCTCCCTCTCTCCCCTACAGCTTGTTCTTTGGAAATCTCTACATATATTTTGCCTGGCAAGGGAAAACCCAGATTTCAGGTTAGTCTTATTCACGTTGCTTTATTCAGATGGTTTTGAAAGTGAACAGCAGTTCCACAAGAAGACCCGTCTGCTCTAAGTGTCCCTCTGGGGAACTTTGGCACCCTGAAGTTTCTTCTGATTTTTGCCTTCTCAGCATCTGCCTCAGACTTATTAAGGCTAGAGTTCATGGCTGCCCTTTGCTAGCACATGCTAGCCAGACTCCCAAGGGTCTGTGTGTGCTCCCTTGTTGGAACCATAGAGAAGGTTCTGTTCTTGGACTGTTGTCTCTTTTGCTCTTAGTTTTTATTCTCTAGCTGAAAGACAAAAGTGGCTTTTTCCTTCTCCTACGTTTTCACTGAGACCTTAAAATAAAAATGTAATGAGGAAATATTTCACTGCCCGGGACAGCCAGTGGGCGTGACACTAACTGACATCGTCTCACGGGCTCGTCCACTCTCCTTTTGTCCCTAGAGAACGACCGAAGGACAGTGTTCATTGCGCTGACAGTCATAAGCCTCGTGGGGACCGTTCTGTTCTTTCTCATTCGGAAACCAGATCCTGAGAATGCCCTTGGAGAAGAAGAGTCTTTCGATGACCAGGACATGGAAGCTGCCGAGTAAGACGCCCGGAACACTCTTCTTCGTGTTAGCGTAGATTTTAAATAATGATGGTCTAGGGATTACTAAACCGTTTTATGCCAGCCACTCTCTGACGACAAGCACGGGGAGAGCTTTCAAGCAAAGCTGAAGGAGAGCTACAGGGAGGGAGGGGCCGACTGTAGAAGGGAGACTGAAAGGTCCCCAAGGACTTAAGTCCTTCCCCAACTGCCAGGTGACCCTCAGTACAAAAACCCTATCATGTCATGTCCCTAGGCCTCAGTTTCCTGCTCTGGTGAACAGCAGCCCCCTCCCCTATTTCCCTGTGGGAGACCAGGCTGATAGGTGAAGGACACAAATGCTTTGCCTTCAGTCCTGTGACTGTGGCCTGGCATTCAAGCTTCCTAGTGCTGTGTTGTGGGTGAGTGTCAGGGCCCTGCAGTTCCCAGCATTCAAGCTTCCTAGTGCTGTGTTGTGGGTGAGTGTCAGGGCCCTGCAGTTCCCAACGCCTGGGCTCCTGGCCCCCACAGTCATCCATGCATGAGGTTTCCAATGCTGTAATTACCTGAGCCATTTCTTTCTGAGTTTGAGATGGGATCTCACTACGTATCTTAGGCAGGCCTAGACAAGAGATCCTCCTGCATCAGCCCCTGCTGCTAGAATCCCAAGTGAGTGCCAGCATACTCAGTTACCTGAGCACATTTCAAAAGTGACACTGTTTCAGGTATCAGGTCACCAAGCATAGTGGAACATACCTGTACTTGGGAGGTGGAGGCAGGAGAATTAGAATTGAAGCTCACCATCTACAGCATAGCAAGTTCAAGAGCAGCCTAGCCTATATAAGACCTGTTTCATAAACCTTACAAACCAAAAATCATAGGTGATTTGTCTACAGTTAGATTTGAGAGGAAGAAAAAAGAAACGCTAAAGGGTTATTTTGTTTTTGAGTTGACAAGTATGAAGATTTTTCTTACAACCTTTCATCCATTGTTAAAAGTTTTGCCATTTATTTATTTATTTACTTGTTTATTTGTCTGGGAGACAGAATCTCATGGTGTAGACCAGTCTGGCCTCAAACTCAAAGATTTACCTGCCTCAGCCTCCTGAGTGCTGGGATTTAAGTTGTGGGCCACTATGCCTGGCTACTGTGTTGCCTTTGTAATTAACAAACAAAAACCTCTCCAGTTGAAAATTTGCACGGAGTGTTTAAAATGAAGGAGGGTGGTCTTTGGGCTGAGGCTATGTTAACGTGACACAGTCAGGAATCACATGAAGAGTTGCCGTTAGCGAGAGACTGCTGGATGACAGCTGACCCATACGATGATGTCATCTAGCGTGGCTCAGCAGACTTTGTGCGCGCGCACTCTGGGATCTGTTAAGCAGTCCAGAAGGATTTGTTTCTCAGCTTTTTGTTACAGCAGTGGTCAGCAGGAATTGGAGAGGGGATCGCTCGCGTGTCCATGGTAAAGCATAGTTCTTAGGACTGATGCTCAGCCCGGTTAATATTCTCTCATCCTGAGCTGTCGCCTACATGTAAAACTTTTTATTGTCATAAATAATACTGACCAACCATGTACCAGCCCCGCCAGCGACATGTTCTTAACGGACTCGGTTTTAGAGGTGGCAGAAGTAGTACACCTGTAAGAAAATCTCAGGGCACCCTAACCATGGCTTGGAACTCCCCAAGAGCCTCCTGCCTGTGCCTCTGATGTGGTGAAAACAGAGTGCGACGTCACACCCAGCAGAGGCCACGATGTCACAGACCTCAGTGGGAGTTGGGCCGCTTTTTTTCCCTTGGGAGTTTCCAAGCAAGAAATCAGTCTGTTTTATTTTCCCAGGTCCACCCAGAACAATGTGACAAAGGCAGTCGATGCGTTTAGTAAGTATTTCTGTGTCCAAAATGCAAGCACTATTTGGGAACACCTTCCGAGTTTGCCTCCCCCCTTTCCCTGGTCACTCTGGACTGACGATCCCCAGTGTTTCCAGATATGCGCTTCTAAAGTCGGCAGTTCCTCCACCAGTGTCTCCAACACGGGGCTGTTAGAAATGAGCACCACCCACCTAAGGAGTATGTGAGGGGTGGGAGGAGGCCTGAGGGGTGGGGCCCAGTGTATGTTGACACAGGGAGCTGAGGAAACCCAGGCTGCTCCTTGGAGCAAGCACTCCATAAGGTTTCTTGCTGCCCTGTGCACAGTGGTTCTAAGGATTCTGTAATAGGCAGCGGGTGACATTTCCATTCCAGAGAAGAGACCTGAGGTTTCCAAAGTCTGTGCTGAGCCCTCTCAGAGCTGTTTACGAGTAACCAAACAGTACTGGAAGCATGGAAGAAATTTTATCCATGAGGTGGAGATGGGGAACGAGGTTGGGATTGGGTGGCTCAGTGGTTGGCAGCCGGGGCATGTGATTATCAGTGTCCACTGTAACTTTTACAAACAAGTGACATCTATCTTACTGATGGGACAGCAGGCTGTCAAGAAGTTCTACCCAAGGTCAACCAGCTGGTCAGTAGGTGGCTGAGGTAGATTTGAGCCCAGACTGACTGATAGGGGAGATAGTCTTTCTCTCAGACACAGGCAGGCTCTGATTCCAGCATCTCAGCATCCGTGATATCCTTGCTGAGGCAGCTACTTCATGGAGCAGCCCACTGCAGGCCCTCGGCTCTCAGGACGTTATAGTGCCTGTGGCTCTGGGATATGAGGCGTTGTCAAGTCTGGCAGAGTGGAAATTCTTGATCTCATCAGCTGATGCCTGGCTCAGAGGTCACAAGACCTCCTTTTAGAAAGAACCTAGGATGTGGGACATGTATGCTCTGTCATTAGAGCTATTTAACCCCACTTTTATACACTGCCTGTGTTTGAGGGATGCAGTCATAATTATAAATTATAAATTGGGGTTTCATGTATTAGCAAATAGGGTATAGCTGGGTTCCCTGCCAAAATGAGAGGTCACCGGAGGTCTGGCTTTCCAACTTGTAGTCTAGGAACTTGTCCACCAGAAGACCCACTTATGGCCAGGCTAAAACTCACAGAAACAGCAGTTTAGCAACTTGTTTTAGACTGACTTTAATAAGTCAGTGTAAAACTGGCTTACTAAACTGACTAAAACTACTTAAACTTACTAAGACTGACTTTACTGAGTGTAGCTCAGGCTTGCCTGTAGCTTATGGATTCTCCCACTTCAACCCTGTAATTCTAATACTTGAGGGTCAAGAGGGTCAGCCATCATCCTCATACTGAGGAGTTCGAGGCTAGCCTGGGACACAGGAGATTCTCCAAAAAGAATAATATAGTAATAATAATAACAATAATATTAATAATATAATTCAGATGCAGTTTTGCATGCATGATAGTCTGTGTAGTCCTAGCACCTGACATTGACAGGAAAATGGACTTGTTTCAGATCACCTTAAACTGCATAGTGCATTTGAGTATAGCCTGGGCCAGGGTGAGACCCTGTCTTCAATGGGGGGTGGGACACATCTTTAGAAACTCAGTCTCCACTGCAGATCTCATCCCCACCTTGCGGTGCTGAGGCAGAGGTCAGGGTGTCTGCAAACACCAAAGCATGGACACCACAGTCTAGCCTGCAGTCAGTCTCCAACCCAGATACCCTGTCGACTGGCTTCTCTGTAGCCTCTCAGTAGTGTGCACTCAACTTCTTATTGTCTTGTGTAATTCTGGTTTCTTTCCCCTCCCTCTTGTTATTAAGAGCCACGACACATCGAGGAGGACAGTGTGTCTCTGGCACGTATTTAAGCACTTGAAATGAGCATTCTGTTTACATGGCAGGCTTCGTTCATGTCTCATGCGGTTTGCTCTGAAGGTTTAGGCTTCCTGTTTACTGGCTTCAGTGGTGAGAGGAGTGTTCTGGCTGAAGGAAAGAAACGATTGCCGATTCAAATCTAGCTAAGTCTGTCCATTTTTTCTCCTTACAGAAAAGTCTCTGAAGTTGTGCGTCACCAAGGAGATGCTCCTTCTGAGCGTTACGACTGCCTACACAGGTACAGCTGCTCCTGCTGCCCTGTCGCTGCCTGGTGGTGGCAGGACGGCTTGACTGCATAGTGCTATCCTGTGTCATCTCCTGAGGCTGCTTTCAGAGCAGCTGCTGCCATAGCCTCTTAAGACAATTTTGTATTCATGTCCAGTACCTTCCTGGTGTCTGATAGAAGACTGAGTCCTAGTCTGTCATCAGGGATCTGCCCTGCTCTCTGAATAACCTCCTCCCTCCATGAGCTCTTCATGTGGGTGACAGGAGAGTCAGACCTCAGAGTAGCCAAAGGCCCCAAAAAGACAGCAGGAAAAGCTGACCAACCTTTCCTGAAGCCCATCCTGGATCCAGCCTTGTATCACTTCTACTGCTTTCTCTTGGTGGCAGCCAGTCACAGGGCCAGACCAGACTCAGTGTGGGAGGATCTGAGTACCAGGGGTAGCCTGGACCAGCGAGGTCAAAGCTGCAGGCAGCACTCAGTGTGTACCCCAGAGGGGCAGCGTGACTCTGACATCACTTAGGAATTAGGAGAGTGTGAGACTGAGGTATGAGAACAGCTGCAGCCCTTGGTCTCGGGAACGATGAGAATGGGGTAGTGCATACCTCATTGTAATGCCAGCATTGGGGAACTGAGACAGGAGGATTGCTACAGATTCAAGGCTAGCCTGAGCTGCAGTGTGAGATCCTGTCTCAAAAACAAGCAAGATGCCGGGTGGTGGTGGCGCACGTCTTTAATCCCAGCACTTGGGAGGCAAAGGCAGGTGGATTTCTGAGTTCGAGGCCAGCCTGGTCTACAGAGTGAGTTCCAGGACAGCTAGAGCTACACAGAGAAACCCTGTCTCGAAAAACCAAAAAAAAAAAAAAAAACAACAACAACAAAAAAAAACAAGCAAGATGCCGGGTGGCACAAGCCTTTAATCTCAGCACTTGGGAGGCAATCTCAGCACTTGGGAGGCAGAGGCAGGCGGATTTCTGAGTTCGAAGCCAGCCTGGTCTACAGAGTGAGTTCCAGGACAGCCAGGGCTACACAGAAGAAACCCTGTCACAAAACAAAACAAAAAAACAAGCAAGATGAGTAAGGTGACCAGAGTCGACTGCTACAGAAAAAGGGGGAAGCCATCCACCCTGGTGTCTCCTGCAAGAGTGCTGATCTCCTCAGGAGGGAGCTGTCACATGATCTTCAGAGCCTCTGTGTAGGGGAGTTCAGTTTCGGGTAGCTTTGGGAGAGGGCTGTGATCAGCTGTGCAGCATAAAGCCTCCTGCTCCGGGAGGAAGCGGTTTAGTCTCTAATCTCTGTCTGTGTGTCCTCTTGTATGTCAGGCTCGGCTGCTACTAGACACGAACCAAAAATGGGAAAGAGCCCGGCTGTACAGTTAAATTAACCCTGTTTTCCCCACTAAGGTCTGGAGCTGACCTTCTTCTCTGGGGTGTACGGAACCTGTATTGGGGCAGTAAACAAATTTGGGACAGAAGAGAAAAGCCTCATTGGACTTTCTGGAATTTTCATCGGCATTGGAGAAATCTTAGGTAGGTTGTTTTTTTAGTTTAAAAACCTTCCATTCAGAGTCAGGCTGGAAAGCTGGTTCTGTAGGAGTTCAAGGCTAGCCTGGGCAATAAAAGAAGACCCTGATTCAGTCTTAAAAAGGAAGAGGAGCCAGGCACGGTGGCCGATGACTGCATTCCTGAGTCTTGAGAGGTGGAAAGAGGATGGAGGAATTCAAGGTTATCCTTGGCTGTGTAGTGATTCTTGGTCAGCCTGGACTACTTAAGACCTTATCTCAAAAGAGAAGAAAGGAAAACAGAAACATTTTGTTAGCATAAAGGTAGAAATCTTAGGTCTCTTTCACCTCTCTGTCCTTGAGTTTCTATCTTCCCTACTTACTTTTATCCAAGTGTGTATATTTTGTCTTTCAATCATAATTTTTTTTTAACTTTTGCTTATTTGTATGTGTCTGAAGGTATGTGCACACAGGCCGGTTGGGGGGGGGGGATGTGTCTATAGTCCTCTTATCACTTTCTGTCATTTCTTTGAGGCAGGGTCTCTCCCTAAACTTGGAGTTGGCGATTTCTTGGGTAGGCTGGAAGTCTTTGGGCCCAGCAGTCTTCCCTGCCCTCTTTGGAGCTGGGCTTGGGTGCTGGGATCAGAGCCCCAGCTAGGGTGATGACACCCAGGCAGGAGGCGTGCCATGGCATGCTGTCAATTCTGGTTCTGCAAGGTGGTTCAAAGAAAGCCTTACTGCTTAAGGGGACAGTCCAGTTTTCCTGGAATGATTGCTCCTGCTGAAGGTGACGCCATCACAGAGTGAGCTGTCTGTAAGGCTCTGCTGCTGCTCCGTTTAGATGGATGGTTAGAAAGCTGCTGGTACCTTTGTGAGGGTCTGGAGTAGACGCCCATCGTAAAGACTGATAGTAAAGCACCTCAGGACTCTAGCTTTGTGCTCGCTTTCAGCCTCAGAGCGGGATAAGACAGGTTGGATGCTGTCAGTTTGCACAGACTCCCATGGTGGCTAATGTGTGCAGAAATAAGAGTGTGACCCAGAGAGCGGGACCCAGAGACGGATGGAAAGCAGGCGGGGTTGGGGGTGGGGGTGGAGGGGCAGGCCTCATCCTGCCTTCAGTTTCCTCAAGGGCACAAGTGAGTCAGCAGGGTTAGATGTAGCTCACAGAAATCGGGAAAACTCTAGATACACGCTGTTGCTTATTAAGAAGAATGCAGGTCAGCAGAACGCTGGGTACTCCAAGAGTTGTTCTCCAGAGGGGCCGCGCCAGCAGTGTGGGCACAGTGTGGCACCTCACTGTGTGATGACCAGATCCCAGATCGGGGTAATGGGCGAATCAGCTACCTCGAGTCTTTATCATTTCTTTGTGTTACGGAACTTTTCAAATCCTTTCTACTAGCTATTTTGCAACCCACAGATAATTGCCATTAGCCATAGTTACCACACTATGCTATAGAATATTACCTTTTTTTTTTTTTTGCAATGGTCTTGCTATGTAGCTCTTGGCTGATTTGGAACTCACTATATAGAAATAGGCTAGCGTCAGACTTGTTACAAGTTTGTACCACAAGCCCTATTCACGTTACAAGTTTTTTAACAGCTAACTTTGGGGGAAAGGGGATACTAGGAGTTACCAGGAGCCTTGTATATACTAGACCAAGCGCTCTACACTGAGCTGGCTGCTCACCCCACTCCATTTTGAAAACTCTGAGACAGAATCTCACAAGGTTCCCTAGGCTGGCTTTGAACTACTACTCTATCCCTAGACCTACAGGACATGCCACCGGCCTTAGCGCTGAGCTGAAACTTTTATCATGGGGGAGTCTTCCTAAAGGCCTCTGTGCCACCCTACAGTCTCACGGTGATTCGTCCAGTCGTGAAGCGGGCAAGCTGTGATCAGAACAAAAGCGCGGGGTGGGTGACATATCTAATTCTCCAGTGGGGAGGTCAAGGCAGGGTCAGCCCAGGCCTGGGCTACCTGCGACCCAGTCTCAACAGAGCAGTGGTAGTTGATGAGTTATGCATGCTCTTTTGTTTCTAACTAGGCAGCAGGCATAGGAGGTGTACTGGGTGTATTCATTCACAGAGAACAGCAAGAGCATCATTGGCTGGATGTACAGCTAACACCAATGCCATGAGTATGAGTGCTGTGGCCATTCTCGCTGTTCCCACTCTGATGGTCTGTTTCGGGGCACACATTGGACATCTGAGATTAATTCTCTGCTCCGCACTGTGACCCATGACTGGTTCTGTGGTGGGTGGCACCCCCTGAAGTGTTCCCGTGTCCTGACCTACAGGTGGAAGCCTCTTTGGCCTGCTGAGCAAGAGCCATCGCTTCGGCAGGAACCCAGTCGTGCTGCTGGGCACCCTGGTGCACTTCGTAGCCTTTTACTTGATCTTTCTCAACATGCCCGGAGATGCGCCCATCGCCCCCGTGGAAGGGACGGACAGCAGTGCGTACATCAGGCCCAGGTACACTGACTCCCCTTTGCTGCGTGGGTCCAAGTGGAGCGCTTAATTCTCCTCAGAGTCTATCAGCTCCGTGAGGTCACCTGTCAAAGAGTTGAGAGAGCAGAGTCCCCAAGGCAGTTTTGCAATGGGTTCTTTTAACCTCTGCCCTCCTGGCTCCTCCCTTGATCCATGCAGAAGTACAGAAGTATCTGATGAGAATTTTATCTCCGGCTTTTTAGCAGTGAGCTGTTCCCGTGTTAGAGGGGGACACAGCGGAACAAAATGGCAGCTGTCACTGGGCAGCTGCTCAGTCCTTCGTGGTCTGAGCGTGTCCATTGATTTCATCCGACTCTAGTTCATCATAGATGCAGAGTCTGGGGATAAATCCACAGACCCAAGGGAGCCTCACCCAAAAGGCAGTATTTACTTTCCAAACAGAGTACACTAGAAATTTGCTAGACTGTGAAGGTCTGTGCATGTAAGCATAATTGTTTACAGATTCTAGTGGGGAGGCTGGAGTTGGAACCCTGGGTGTAAAACGTTTGTTTGGAGCCAGGTGTGGTGGTGGTGCACGCCTTTAGTCCCAGCACTCTGGAGGCAGAGGCAGGCGGATCTATATTAGTTCAAGGCCAGCCTGGTCTACAAAGTGAGTTCTAAGGCAGACAGCAAGAGTTACACCAAGAAACCCTGTCTCGAGACAAACAAGTTTGCCTCAGATTTGGGGGCCTTGGGTTCCCTCTCCAACAGCACAGAACAGGCCTCAGCCCAGTCAGTATTTATTCGCTCTTGTTTGGGGGCAGGGCTGTGTGCACACTCGTGACCTTACTGCTGAGGAGGCTGACACTACAGGATCACAAGTTCCAGGGCAGCCTGGGGTCTGTCCTGAGCCTGGGGAGTGGTACAGTGGCAGGGGTTGCCTAGCAGCAAGGAGTCCCTGGGCTCAAGCCCCAGCAGCCTCTTCACCAAATAAAACATAAAACAGATACGAACTGCTTTTGTTGGGAGCATTGTTTTATGTTTTGGTGATACTAAATATTGGTGCTACATGTTTAATTTCTTTTAAGGATTCATTTTTATTTTGTTTGTTTGTTTGTTATTGAGACAGGTCTTTCTACATAGTCCTGGCTGTCCTGAAAGTCTCTATGTAGACCAGGATGTCCTTGAGCTCACAGAGGTCCACCTGGCTCTACCTTTGGAATGCTGGGATTAAAAGCATTACCACCACCCCCCTCAGCATGTTTTTTTATTTAAATTAGACACACGTACACACACACACACACACGCACGCACGCGCGCACACACACACACATTATATATATGAATGAATGATGAGGGGCATGTTTGAATTCAGGTGGTGCCTGTGGGGTTCAAAGGAGAGCATTGGGTCTTCTGGTGCTGGAGTCGTGGGTTCTGGGAACCAAACTCAGGTCCTTCCCAGAAGCAGCACATGCCCCTGACCACTGAGCCTTCTTTCCCATCCCATATCCTTGACCACTGAGCCTTCTTTCCAGTCCTATGTGGTTTTTGTTTTTTTCTTCAGCAAAGAAGTTGCTATTCTCTGCAGTTTTCTGCTGGGTCTGGGAGACAGCTGCTTCAACACCCAGCTGCTTAGCATTCTGGGTTTTCTCTACTCGGAAGACAGCGCGCCTGCCTTTGCAGTCTTTAAGTTTGTTCAGGTAACCCGGATTGTGCTGCAGACAGTTTCCTTCCTGGTTTGCCCGGTTGCACCTTCCATGGGTTTTAAATGAATGCTGGGCATTCTGTAAAGGGGATCATGAGGAGAAGCGGGCACAGTGGGCTTGGTTGGGTGAGAGGTTTTAATTCTGGTCTCTGCACCCGGGTGAAGACTTCCTTAGGTACCGGCCCCATCTCTCCACGGAGCCTCAGGCTTCTCTCACCCTGTGCACTTTATTGTAGTGCCACAGCTTGCTGGAGTATTGCTGTCGGGCAAGCTGGGGTACATCTGTGAGCTGGGGACCAGTGACGTCCGTCTGCATGGGCATCGCAACTTGCAGATGTCCTTTGGGTCAGAAATGGCGGGCTGACTGTGGAGCAGCTGAAGCCCCGGGGTCCACTTGGTGATTTATCTTCTTTCTTCCAGTCCATCTGCGCAGCCATGGCCTTTTTCTACAGCAACTACCTCCTCCTCCACTGGCAGCTCCTGGTCATGGTGATATTTGGGTTTTTCGGAACCATTTCTTTCTTCACTGTGGAATGGGACGCTGCCGCCATCGTGGCTCGAGGCTCCGACTACCGAAGCATTTGATGAGACCATCGGCTCCAGGAAACACAGCTGGCCACGTGACAGCTGGTCACGTGACAGCTGGTCACAGCGACCGCCTGTCAGTCTCATAATCGCTGGACGATGCTGAGTGTGGAAAGGGAGACCCGAGACTGTTAAATCAGGCAGGGTTGGTAGTAAAGTTTACAGATCCTAGCGGCTCATGCTAGCGGAGAGAGGGAATCCCGCTCTGTCAGTTACAACTGTTCCAAGATGTTTGTCCACCCCCTCCCTCAGTTCCTCACAGTCACGGTTCCTCCACCCTCATTCTCATGGAAAGATCCTGCCTGGCTCGCCATGTGTCACAGGATTCTTGCTGGCTATGGAGTATGTTTCACTCTTTTTGACATAGGAAGCAGATGCCAGTCCCTGTGTGGATCTGGGAATGACTTTCCGATACACAGCAGGGATGCTGACACACAGTTGTTTTGAGACAGGATCTCACTGCCTAGCCCAGGCTGGTCTTGGACTTGCAGCCCTCCCCCACCTCCAGTGTTGGCGTTATCCTAGGTGCCCGACACAGGATTTAAAGCACTCCAGTCATTTTGAGTTAGGATCTTGATATGCAGCCGTGGCTGGCCTGGACTTTGTACACCAGGCAATGTTCCTGCCTTTGTCTCCCGAGTGCCGGGGTGGTGAGAATATGCTGCCACATACCGCTTGGCTGAGACCTCAACTTCTCTTTAAATGCTTTGTTAAACAAGTCTTACCTTGTCACTCCCAGCAAGGGGTTATGTGTCATGAGGTAAAGACTGTGTCATTTGTCAATTAATAAAAGTATTTAGAGAAGGAAAGAATACTTACTGGAGGATTTCTGCTGTGGTTGTCCTGACCTTTACGATAAAGGAAACTCCATCCTCTAGTGGGGTCCGTGCAGCCATCGTCTCTGGGAGAATGCCTAAGTCCTGCAGACTGTCTCCCATGAGGACTGACACTCTTACGAGTGAGGTAGTAAATTAATTAAGCATCAAGATCAGGTCTTCTGTGTACTGCTGGTTGGCCTCCAACTTGTGCTCTTCCAAGCCACGAATGTCTGGCTCGAATTCACCAACTTTGTGTGTGTGTGTGTGTAGGTTGTATAACAACCATCACCATATCTAATGACATTTTATTTTTAAATTCTTTTTTATTTACGTGTGTGTCTGTGTGTGTGTGTGTGTCTGTCTGTCTGTCTGTGTGTCTGCTGGCTTGTCTGTATATGTATTGTGTGTTTGCCTGTCTGCAGAACTCATGGAAGTCAGAATGAGGATTGGATGGATCCCTGTGAACTGCAGTTACGGGCAGTTGAAGACCATCCAATAAGGGGTGCAGTGTCTTAGTTACTTTTCCTCTTGTTGTGAAGAGATACCAAGGCAACTTTATTTATTTATTTATTTATTTATTTATTTATTTATTTATTTATTTACCAGAGTACCACAGCTGTCTTTAGACACAGCAGAAGAGGGCATCAGATCCCACTACAGATGGTTGTGAGCCACCAGTTGACTACATGATAGGTTCACTCCTGGGTGAGGGCTGGCTCAAAGGGGACTGCTCCATCCAAACGGCTCCCAGCGAGGACAGACGGAGTTCCCCTTCAGTAACCCTTCCACGAAAACCCGGAAGCTGCTTCTGAGACCATGAGGTCCTGTGCAGTCAGAGCGGAGGTGTGTATAGCTATCTGGAAGGAACAGGGAGGCAGGTGGAGTCAGCTAGGGTCCAGTGACCCTCCTCACCCTCTCCTATGAGAGAATGGCAGCAGTCAACAAGCCCAGCTTTTGGGTGTCACGGCTGCCTGGAAGAGGGTGATGACCAAGGATAGCACTCTCTAGCGGCTTGTGTCCCAGGAGACCCAAGGATCATCCCTAACAATGGAAGATGCACATGACTGCATGGTCATACTCATGGCTAAGGCTTATTCCAGTGTCAAGTATCCACAGCCATTGCAAGGACCAGGACCCAGAGTCTAGAGAGGTGTTCCACCTCAGGGTCACCCGTGGGTCACACAGCAACCTCTGCTGTGTGCCTGCAGGGAATGACACTGGGCCAGACCTTATATGGAAGGGTTTCACTGGAGTCTGATGACACACAGCCTCAACCTGGCTCCTGGCCACCTGCCAGGCACCCAGAAGGAAGGCAGGTGTGTGTTCTGCATAAACTATTGTTGGCTCTCCCAGTCCAGGCACAAGGAGCTGCTCTGGGCTGCTGGGGCTGGCAGTTTTACAGCTTCATTGAACATGGCTGATTAACCAATGAGAATCTTTGTGCCTGTGGAGAGTTGGAGTGTTGCAGGTCCAGAGCCTAATTATCTTGGGCTTTAGCCCTCTTAACAACCATTTTCTTCTCTGTATGTCAGCCAGTGTCGTCATGACCATGACCATGAAGTAAATCCTCTGGCATGTACAGAAGCCTGTCTCCCACTAACCAGAGCTTAGTAGCTCCTGAGGCCTGGAACAGAGATTTCTTGGATTTGCATTAATCCACACACTTAGTATTTCCACTGGTATATTTAAATAGTGCCTCAGCCTTTAATGATGGTGCTCACCTTAATTAATCCCAGCGCTCAGGAGGTAGAGGCAGGAAGAATTCTGGATTTGAGGCCAGCCTGGTCTACAGAGCAAGTTCCAGGATAGCCAGGGCTACGCAGAGAAACCTGTCTGGAAAACAAAACAAAAAAGAAACATTGAGACATCTCTCTCAGAAATAACGTTTTGCTATTCATATTATTGCTGTTAACACTGTGGGTGAAATCCAAGACCTAAGGCATGCTTTAAAAAAAAAAAAACTATACCACTGAGCACTACCCCTAGCCAGTAACACTAATTTACTTATGTATGTGGTGGAAGGCGCATGCCACAGTGTATGTCTAGAGGTCAGAGGTCAGCCTGTAGGAATTGGTCTCTCCCGTTCTATGGGTTCCTAGGTCCTCCAGCTTGGCAGCAGGCACCTCCATCTACAGAGCCATCACACTGGCCCCTACAGTTTATTTTTTAAAGTTATAGTTTGTGCATGTATGCATGTGTGATCAAGTACCTGCTGAGGTCCGGAGGCGGCATCAGATCCTCTGGAGTTGAGCTCCTCATAGGAGCTGGGATTGAACCCAGGTACTTTGGAAGAGCAGCGAGTTCTCTTACCCACTGAGCCATCTCTCCAGCCTCCCCCACCACACACACACACACACACACACACACACACACACACACACAGCCCAGCCCTTATGTTTTAATGGTAGGAAGTGTGTGTTGAGAAGCTGGAGTCCTGGCGGCTAGCCCCACTTGCCTTTCTCTTCAGCTCCGCTGCAGGCGGTGCGCACACCTCCCTGTGCAGGCGGTGCTGCCGCCTGCCTGGCTTCCTTGGTTTTTCTGATCTAGTTTTAGGTCTGGAAGGTCTGATGTTCCTGTCAGAACTGGTTCTGCCCAGTTCAGTGTGGACCAAGCCAGGGAATCTCAAGCACTGATTGCGAGCTCGCAGGCTAAAGCTGCCGAGGTTCACCTGCGCCTCTCCTTTAGTTTCTAGTGTCTCTATTCAAAGGTCCCTTTTCCTCCTGAAAGCCTGAAATCTCCTCCAGAAAATCAGCTCCCCCTCATCCTTCAGTCTTTTTTGTTTACAGTCTCAGGCGGATTGATTGCCTTTTTCTTTTTTATTGGATTGGTTTTCCGGGTTTCGCATTTGAACGAGCTCTGCTGGGACACTTGTCACACCAGCTGAGCGCCAAGTCTTTGTGACTCATTTTAGATGGAGTGGGAGCATGGGAGCACATGGAGTCAAAACAGGCCTGTGTGTGCCCATGTGTGTGGTGTGTGTGTGTGTCTGTGTCTGTGTGTGTGTGTCTGTGTGTATCTGTGTGTGTGTCTGTGTATGTGTGTCTGTGTGTGTGTGTCTGTGTGGTGTGTGTGTGTCTGTGTGTGTGTATGTGTGGTGTGTGTGTGTGTCTGTGTCTGTGTGTGTGTGTGTCTGTGTCTGTGTGTGTGTCTATATGTCTGTGTGTGTGTATGTGTGGTGTGTGTCTGTGTCTGTATCTGTGTGTGTGTTTTCTCTTGGTTTCTCATTTCTGTGACCAAATAACTCAAAAGCAAACTCAAGGGAGCAAGGGTCCATTTTGGCTCACGGTTTTCAGTTTATTTCGCTGTTGGGAGGCACTCAGACCTGTGGGTGGGGGTCAGGAGGCAGTGAAAGCCATTTGTCCACTCTGGCTTTCTCCCCTTCCCCTTCTATCTTGTCTAGCCCCTCCCCCTTGGGACCACCCTGCCCACACTCGGTTTGTCTTCTCTGGAAGTGTTTTCACTGAGACATCCACAGTCCTATCTCACTAAATAAATACAGGCCTGGGGCATTTACTAATTCAGTAAGGTTGACAAATTAACTGTCAAACTTGGGATGTCAGGAGACGTTCACAGGGTCTCTGTTATCACGGGGATTCATACTGTGGGTGCACACTGTGTCAGGCCCGGGCCTGCTGCTGTGCAGTGTGTATGCTTGGGCTGTACCAGGCTCGCTGTGCATGCTGGTGGGGACAGTTTGAGGTCAGAGTACATTTAGCCTGAAGGACATCCTTTTGGCTCTGGCTTACCTTTCATTTAGAGGGCATTTGGCTCATCCCATAAGCTCGTAAGATTATCTTGGGTTTGTGGGCCATTTAGTTTCTTTGGTTAGTGAGTTGGTTAGCTGGTTGTTTTGTCTGTTCTGTGTGTGTGTGTGTGTGTGTGTGTGTGTGTGTGTGTGTGTGAGAGAGAGAGAGAGAGAGAGAGAGAGAGAGAGAGAGCGAGTACACATGTGCACCAGTGTGTTTGTCTATATAGAGGTCAAAGGTTAACCCCGGGTGTTACATAAATGTCATCTACCTTGTTTTTAATAAACCCCTTTTCTGTCTCTGGACCACATTTTTGGATACATTCACATACATACAAATGGAAATATACAAATCATACATTTATTTTATGTATTATTTATTTTGAAAAAAAATCTTTTTGAAATTCCTTTGTTTGTTTATGTTTTTTTTTTCAAGTCAGGCTTTCTCTCTGTAGTCCTGGCTGTCTGGAATTTGCTGTGTAGACCAGACTGGCCTTGAACTCATGGAGATCCCACCTGCCTCTGCCTCCCAAGTGCTGGGATTAAAGGTATGTACCACCACCGCCTGACTCGAAATTTTATTTTCTTTTTCTTTTTTTTTTTTTTAAAGATTTATTTATTTAATGTATTCACCATTGTTCTCTTCAGACACACCAGAAGAGGGCATCAGATCCCATTAAAGATGGTTGTGAGCCACCATGTGGTTGCTGGGACTTGAACTCAGGACCTCTGGAAGAGCAGTCAGTGCTCTTAACCGCTGAGCCATCTCTCCAGCCCGAAATTTTATTTTTATTAGGTACATTTAGTTTATGGGTATGAGTATATAGGTACACCATGTGCATTCATTGCCCACGTGGGTTAGAAGAGGGCATTGGATCCCCTGGACTGGAGTTACGGATCGTTGTGAGCCACCGTGTGGGTACTGGGAAATGAACCCCAGTCCTCTGCAAGAACAACAAGTATTCTTAACTGCTGAGCCATCTCTTCAGCCCTATTTATTTATTTAGTTAGTTAGTTAGTTTTTTTTCTCTTCGACACAGGGTTTCTCTGTGTAGCCCTGGCTGTTCTGGAACTCACTCTGTAGACCAGGCTGGCCTCGAACTCAGAAATCCGCCTGCCTCTGCCTCCCAAGTGCTGGGATTAAAGGCATGCGCCACCACTGCCCGTCTTATTTATTTTTACACAGGGTGTTACTCTGTGTTTCTATCTAGCCTGAAACTTGCTTTGTGGACCAAACTGGCCTCGAACTCT